AGATACATTGGTCATCGTGTTTCATTTGAGATGACCAGAACTCGTCATTCTTTCTTCATATGAAAGATACTGTGACGGATACAGTTCTCCAGTAATCGCGCTGAGTATGGTAGATTAATGATAGTCACTGTGCAGCTATTTTTTATCGTCGATTTTGTTGAGGTAAGCTTAACAACTCCTCCTGCTTTAGATTAATGACGTTCACATTGCCGTAAGCGATTTATCAAAATACATTAAGCAAAAATATATTCAATGATTATTGAATCATACATACAGTTCGCAGCCCATTCTTCAGATCATATATGAAGTCGACCAACCCTTTCGTCAGAGAAATTTACTGCTACAATAGATATGGTTCACCGAACATATATTGCCAAAGCTTCGTTGACTGACTGTTATGTCATTTATAGCGGTTTTCATAGATTATGCTTCTTCATATATGTTGATTTAATTTCTCTTATGGATTGTAATGCAATATCTTTTTTCTGCACTTCTTTAATTGTTGCATCCTACTTGCACTTCATGGTTTTGATAAAGTCGTTCATGGATGGCAAATCAGATTCCTTTGGTAAATTATTCCATTGTCACAAATATTCTGTCGATTTGTTAAGCGCTACTTCCGCGGATTATATTTCAACCAAAAATAAAACTGATCTTCAAAATCAAACAATAAATGCGAAATATTTTCATTGCCTTCAGGAAATCTTTACAGTGCTGCAAAGGCGTTTGTGCTATGTTGGAGAAAATTTGATTACTGGAGTGGATAATCTATTTTCACTGCATCTGAATCAGCTTTTGCTGTGCTGGAGAAGGACTTTCCCCTGAAGAAACTGTCCGGAAGTTCCAAACGTAGGCAGCCCATTGAAAAACGCCTGGAAAACATTGTGGACATAGGAAAGCTTCTTAACTCCAGCGGTGCGATTTCCGTAGAATAAGAAACATAAAGAAGACCATAATCGTGGGCTCGGATTGTGCCTGTACAATTCACTGGTACCAGATGTGCCTGGAAGAGCGTCTGGTAGAAACCTATGGTGATGCCCTCGTATGCTTTTAAGTAGTTATGTGACACTGATTTATGACACTAATTTGCAGTCCACCAAAGATGCAAGTTGCAGTGACTTCTTTCGAGAGAAGGCTGGACGCTGGCACGCGGTTTGGCTCTTTGTCGCTGTTTAGATATAGTGTTGATCGTTTGCAGTTGTCCTACTGAATCCGTTCAGTTTTCGTCACACCTAATGACTCGGTAAACAAACTGACCGTACTTGTACTTCACGGTTAGCGAAGAACTGCTCTGGCTTTTGAGAATGCGTCGTTTGAGAGTCGAAGTACGGCAACTGACGGCCTGGAGGTCGGCATGCATTCTTGAGGAACAAAATTGTAGCAGATCCACGATCAAAAAGGCATTGTTTCTTCTACGATGAAGTAAATGGTGCCATATGGTAAAAATGCTGTGATGCCTCGAATACAACGGAAATCACAGACCAGAGACCGAGACGGACAGATATATTTATGGTCAGACACAAATGGAAACCTTTTGTAAGGTAAATACTTACCTGGTAAATAAATATAAACACGATTTAACGAAAGCGTTTATGTGTGAGGTGAATAAACTACGCTTTGCGTTGAACGTTTGTCTGCATTTCGATGTTAGTGATAGCCGAGGACTCGATTGCCTGTACAGCGATACAGCTGTCGGACAATGTTACTAACCTCAGGCCGGAACTGATGCGCCTCATGCCGTTGCACAGCTCACGAAACATGGCAAAGACCTCGTTTCGAAACGGCGTGACAAAAAGCATTTGGAAGCTGAACCTGCAGCAGTAA